GCTGTCGGGGCGATCTTAAAATGCTGGCGGGCGGGATCGAAGCCTCCGCTGTCACCCGCCAGCATTTTAAAAAGCCCCGGGACAGCGGGGGACTTCTCCGCTGTTCCGGGGCAATTTAAAAGCCCCGGACCATGCCCCGATGCCGGGCGGCGGACGGGAACGCCTCCCCCCACCGCCCGCCATCGGGACCATGCCCTGATGCCGGTGGACGGGCAGGAACGCCTCCCCCCGCCGCCCGCCATCGGGACCATGCCCCGATGCCGGGGGCGGGGCCGCGAAGCCTGGGCGCGCTGATCTCAGCGCGCCCAGGCTTCGGCATGCCGGCAACTCTCCGCAAGCTGCGGCAGCGCTGCCGCTGCTTGCGGAGAGGTCCGCGAACCCTGGGCGGACATCTTTTGAAGGCAGGGGGGAGCAAACACTTTTGCCCCCCGCCAGCCTTCAGAAGAGGTCCTGGACCTCTTCTGAAGGCCAGCGGGGGCAAAAGTCTTTGCTCCCCCCTGCCTGCTTCCCGGAGAGCGGAGAAACGCAGCACGTTTCTCTGCTGTCCGGAGGGCTTTTTGAATGCAGGCGGGGGAGCAAAGGACTTTCGCCCCCCCCAGCCTTCAGAAGAGGTCGGGGGACAGACTGTCCCCGGACCTGGTCTGAAAGGCGGTTTCCCTAGGAACGCATTATTGATTTTCAATGCATTCCTATGGGAAAACCGTGCATCGCAAGACGAAAAACTCGCAAGACGAAGGAGACTTGCGGAACGAATTAATTTCGTCTTGCGAGGCACCCCTGTATATAGAAAGGATGTCACATAGAGGAGGGAGAAAGGTTGTTTTCTGCTGCTCCAGAGAAGCGGACACGGAGCAATGGATCCAAGCTACAGAAAGAAGATTCCACCTAAACATTAGGAAGAACTTCTGACAGTAAGAGCTGTTCGACAGTGGGAATTTGCTGCCAAGGAGTGTGGTGGAGTCTCCTTCTTTGGAGGTCTTTAAGCAGAGGCTTGACAACCATATGTCAGGAGTGCCTCTGATGGTGTTTCTGCTTGGCAGGGGGTTGGACTCGATCGCCCTTGTGGTCTATTCCAACTCTATGATTCTATGATTCTAATTTTTGGGGAGGATGTGGCTGTTTAAAGTGGCATTATGGTACTGTAACATATAGAGGGGAGGGGGAGAGAAGAGATAGAAAAGGGCAGATTTAAAATGAATCATGCCACTTCCTTCTGGGATGGATCAGGGCTGGTTTTTACTTTGTAGCAGCCTCTCTCCAAATTTTGCAACCAAAAGGTGTGTTATTGTGTTTAAAATGAATGGTGCAAAAGTTGCATGGACATGCTCAATTTATTAGAATCTGAGGCTGTGATGTTCAGGTTTTCTTTGTTTTTAACCTACTTTGCAAGTAGTATAGTGGCAAGAGCAGGGATACTGACATCGTGTTCTTTCCTTGGAGTCCTCTGTGGAGAGAACGCAAAGGAGATGTAGGCAGGTAGCAAGGGAGACGTAGACAAGGACGCCCGCCCACCACCCACTTCCATCACATTAGTTCTCGGATTCTGAAACTCAAAATAACAGTGGACAGTGGAACCTTGGTTCTCAAACGGCTTAGTTGATGAACAAATCAGAACCCGAACGCCATAAACTTGGAAGTAAGTGTTCAGGTTTGCGAACATTTTTCGGAAGCCAAACATTCAATGCGGCTGTCGGCTATTGTTTCCAAGGTGCCTGTGCCAATCAGAAGCTGCACCTTGGTTTTTGAACATTCCTGAAGTCAAGCAGACTTCTGGAAGGATTACATTTGAGAACCAAGGTACCACTGTAATCCTATACATGGTCGTCTGCCATGGCTGCTTTAGCTGAGATTCCTGCGTTGCAGGGGGTTGGACAATCTGAATTGTAGAGTTAGATACAGCCCTGTATGGTTGATGTATCAGCACCTTGGTGCTGCCCTGGCCATCTTTGCTGCTTCTTTTTCCTAAGCCCAGTTTGCCTGGCCAGAGCCCTTCCCCCTCCTTTGACATTTCCCCCTCCTCCTCAGACTTTCCACAGGATTTTAGACTTCAAAGACCCACAGATTTGCCCCCCATCATCACGTTCCAGAAACAATTGAAGACATTTTGTTCCAACAACCTTTCCCAGATGGATGGCTAGGGATCTCTGTTATGGGTCTCAATTTTATGTTTGTGTTTTAAATTGTATTCTATTCTTGGTGTCCTTTTAAATAGTAGTAGTAGTAGTAGTAGTAGTAATAATAATAATAATAATAATAATAATAATAATAATAATAATTTATTTGTACCCCACCCATCTGGGTGGCTTCCAACAAAGATGAAAGATACACTAAAATGTCACATATTAAAAACTTCCCTGAACAGGGCTGCCTTCAGATGTCCTCTGAATGTCAGGTAGATGTTTATCGCTTTGACATCTGATGGGAGGGCGTTCCACAGGGCGGTTGTTTTTATTATATCTTTTTCCATTTCCTTGAAATATATATGTGGAAGGTGTTTATAAATTCTGGATTGTATCCAAAGTTGCACTGAGTAACATGTTCCCATCTCCTTGGAGCTCTTGTTTGGACCACTGGAATCAGGGGACGAGTTCAGGAAGAACTTTCCCAGTTCGAAAGGGATGGCTGGTTTTGTCTTGACGCAGTCCTTCTTTCCACAGGGAAGTTCTGAACTATCCTCTGGGGAAAAGGCCTCTGCAACTGCACCCCATGAGACGCCAGGGAGTGCTGAAAGCCCCCTAGATGCGATTTGCCTCAGTGAATCTGATAAGATGGCAGTTCTGACTCTGATCAGAGACGAGGTAAGAGCTGCACCCTGGTGGGGGGACCCCATCAGGATGTCAACCATGTAAGGCTCGTTGGTGGTCTATGTTTCTGGAGTGTGTGTTTTGGGTATGTTAGTTTAAGTCACTTAAATAATGAAGACAGAAAACATACAAAAAATACAAAATTGTATTCATTTTATAACACAAATAAAAACCACGAACAGAAAAAACAAACAATACAAACAAATTCTTGTCATATCCTTATTTTTCTAAACATTGTTAAGTGGGCTTCCCCAAGTCCCACCTATCTGATTTTCATTTTACTTCATCTTTGGCAGTTTACATATAATATTCTTAAACTTCTTCCAATCTTCTTCCGCCATATCTTCTCTCTGGTCCCGGAGTCTCCCAGTCAGTTCAGCAAGTTCCATATAGTCCATCATCTTCATCTGCCATTCTTCAATAGTTGGTAATCTTGTTTCTTCCAATTCTTCGCTAGTAATATTCTCGCAGCTGTTGTGGCATACAGAAAAAAAGTAAGATCCTTTTTGGGGATTTCACCCCCACTATATCAAGTAAAATGTTTTCTGGTTTTTTAATAAATGTGTTTTTCAACACTTTTTTCAATTCATTATAAATCCTTTCCCAGAAGCCTTTTACCTTGGGGCACGTCCACCACATGTGGTAAAAGATTCCTTCTTTTTCTTTACATTTCCAGCATTTATTATCATGAGTATGATACATTTTTGCTAACTTCACTGGTGTTAAATACCATCTGTACATCATTTTCATCAGATTTTCTCTTAATACATTACAAACTGTAAATTGGATTCCTTTTTTCCACAATTTCTCCCAGTCCACCATCATAATATTGTGCCCCACATCCCTAGCCCATTCAATCATTACAGATTTCACTTGTTCATCTTTCATATGCCATTCCAGCAATAAATTATACATCTTAGATAGGTTTTTTTTATTTTGTGTCTAGTAATTCCGTTTCCAGTTTGGATTTCTTTGTTTGAAAACCGATTTTCTTATCCATTTTCAACACTTCATTCATCTGGATGTACTGGAACCAATCATCTAATTTATATTTCAACTGATCATAAGATTTTAATCTAAATTGGTCCCCTACTTCCATCAAAATATCATTATACTTGAACCACATATCTTTCATATTCAACCTTTTATGGATCTTAGATTCCAATGGTGATATCCACCTGGGTGTTTTCCTTTCTAACAGATCCCTGTATCTTACCCAAACATTGTAGGAAGATTTTCTAATTATATGGTTTTTAAATCCTTTGTGGACTTTTATCTTGTCATACCATAAATATGCATGCCAACCAAAATACATTAGCAAAACCTTCCAAATCTAAACATCTGTATCTTCCAACAAAAACCATTCTTTCAACCAACAAAAGGCTGCAGCTTCAAAATAGATCCTTAAATCTGGCAGGGAGAAGCCCCTCTCTCTTTCACATCTGTAATAATTTAAACTTAATTCTGGGTTACCCCTCCTGCCAGATAAATTTAGATAATGCCTTTTGCCATTCCTTAAAATAATTCAACTTATCAATGATAGGAAGTACTTGGAACAAAAATAACACCTTAGGCAATACATTCATCTTTATCACAGAAATTCAGCCCAACAAAGATAGTTTCAACCTTGTCCAGATATCCAAATCTCTTTTGATATCTTTTCCATAACTTTCAATAGTTGTCTTTATACAAATTCAAATTTTTGCAATCATATTTACACCCAGATACTTCACCTTTTTCGCAAACTTCAGCCCTGTGGTTTCCTCTAAATTAAGTTTTTCATGTATCGTTATTTTTCCCCTCTAAAACTTTGGTTTTAATTCTTATTCAATTTGAAACCTGCAACTTGTCTGAACTCTTGAATTACGGTATTTTCTGTGCTTTGATTGCACTGATCTCAGGGTCCTGTAAAGTCAATACCAAATCATCAGCAAAGGCTTTTAACTTATATTGTTTAGTTCCCACTACTATGCCTTTAACTTCCTCATCCTTCCTCATCATGTTCAACCAGCACCTCTAGGACAGAAATAAAAAGCAGGGGGGAAGTGGGCGCAAAAAGAGACTTGAGATAGATCAATTTTAAAGAAACAACGGATTACCAAAACTATCTCAAGAAAATAAGACAACATTGAATTATAAAATAACAGAACAAGAGATTGAAGGTGCCATTCAGAACATGCAATTGGGGCAAATCTCCAGGGCCGGATGGGTTAACCTCCAAGTATTACAAGATCTTGAAAGACTATTTAATTCAACCACTGAAGGAGGTTTGTAACGAGATTATGGAGGGGAAGAAGGCACCGGAGTCGTGGAAAGAAGCTTTCATCACACTTATACCTAAATCTGAAACTGAAAAGACACAACTTAAGAACTACCGTCCCATTTCCCTTTTAAATGTGGATTACAAAATTTTTGCAGATATTTTAGCTAATAGATTAAAAAAAGTGTTAAATAAAGTGATTCATAAAGACTAGGCAGGCTTTCTCCCAGGCAGACACTTGTCTGATAATACAAGGAACATCATTGACATTTTGGAACTATTGCAAATGAACACTAATACAAAAGCAGTGTTGATCTTTATTGATGCGGAGAAGGCCTTTGACAATATTTCATGGAATTTTATGAAGAAAAATCTTAAAGGGATGGGAGTGGGACGGGGGTTTGAAAATGGCATAGACGCAATCTATTCAGAACAAAAGGCAAAATTGATAGTTAATAATGTGGTGTCAGAAGAGTTTAAAATTGAGAAAGGAACACGACAGGGTTGCCCTATCTCTCCATTGTTATTTATTTCGGTCCTGGAGGTGCTCTTGAACATGATCAGAAGGGACCGGTCCGATTGAAGGAATTCAGGTCGGAGCTAAACAATATAAACTTAAGGCCTTTGCAGATGACCTGGTTTTGACATTACAGGAGCCAGAATCTAGTACGAAAAGGGTTTAGAACTGATTCAAGAATTTGGTCGGGTGGCGGGATTTAAATTAAACAAGCAAAAAACTAAGGTTTTGGGGAAAAACTTGACAACTATGGAAAAAGAAAGGTTTCAGAAGGAGACAGAGTTAAATGTGGTTAAAAAGGTGAAATATCTAGGGGTTAATATGACTGCTAAAAACTTGAATTTATTCAAAGATAACTATGAAAATGTTGGTCAGAAATCAAAAAGGATCTAGAAATTTGGTCAAAATTGAAGCTTTCCTTGTTGGGTCGAATTGCTGCTATAAAGATGAATGTATTGCCAAAAATGCTGTTTTTGTTTCAGACTTTGCAGATTGTGGACAAGATAGATGGACTGTTTCAAGAGGTGGCAGAGAGATATTTCTAAGTTTGTCTGGCAGGGCAAAAAGCCCAGAATAAAATTTAAAATACTAACTGATGCTAAAGAAAGAGGGGGGTTTGCCCTGCCAGACATGAAACTGTATTATGAATCAGCAGCTTTCTGCTGGTTGAAAGACTGGCTACTTCTAGAGAACACTGATACTTTGGATTTGGAAGGGTTCAACAATGTGTTCGGGTGGCATGCATATCTGTGGTACGACAAGGTTAAAGCTCATAAAGCATTCAAGAACCATATTGTCAGGAAAGCAGTGTTTAATGTCTGGACAAGGTACAAAGATTATTAGAAAATAAGACCCCAAGGTGGCTGTCACCAATGGAAGCTAAGGCTCAGAAAAGACTCAATATGGAGGCCAAGTGGCCAAAATATTGGGAGATATTAGAAAATGATGGAGACACATGGAGATTGCAGAGTTTTTTATTGTACTTTTTTTTTCTTTTTGGCTTTTTTGATTGACTGTGATGGTGTTTTTTCTTTTTGGTTGTGAATGTGAAGTTTGTTTTATTGTCTAAAACTTTAATAAATATCTTTTTTTAAAAAAAACAATCTCCAAATGTCTATCAGGTCAAAATTGTCCACCATCTCGAAAAACGTCTTTGGTAGCCTCCCGTCATTAGTAAGTTTTTGCCTTTGGGTTCTAAAGAAATCCTGATAACAATTTACTGAGGAAACTGAACAGAAAACTGTATAATTTGAGGAGAGAGGTGTTGTCATTCTTATTTCAGGCCTTGTACACAGCAGGGAGACATTCAACTAAACATAGACAGGAAACGACACAGCCAATTGGGTGAAAATCATACCATTCCGACTGGTTTGCTGAGCAACACCCCCTTCCCCTCTTGTCTAGCTGACTTTAACACTTACAGGATTAACCCTTAAGTTGCACACAGAACGATCTCTGTTGTTGCAATTCAGTGGAGTTATGTTTGAGAACAGTGCTTTGTCACTAAGAATGATAAATTACTTTTAAAATCAGTTACAAAATGTTGAGGTAGAAATGGGCTATAGAGCCATCTGTTTTTAAAAAGCAGGGATGGGCAACCTGCAGCCTCAGGCCTAAAAGCCAAAGACATCTGTGAGTGATCAGTCCCTCTCCTGTCTCTCCTGGGAGGAAGAGGGAATGAGAAAGGAAAGGCAGAGAGAGAATGTGCTGCCCCCCCCAGACTGCCCCTGAGGCACTGGCCTTCAAACCCTTGGGTCAGCACCCACTGCCAGGACATCAAAGCATGACCGAAGGCAAGTCACAGGAGCAGCACTGCCACTATGCAAGTAGATTATTTAAAAATTCAGAAATGGGTCCCCAAATGTATGTTTGGGTTGAAGCTGCGTTCCAGGTCTGCAAAGTCTGAGGACCACCCTAAGAGAAAAGCTTGCCCACCTCATTGTATGGTGTGCAAGGGATCAGGGTTTTCAACCAGGAATCTTCTGATCTGAGGTCAAACCCTACAGAGTGCTACAGAGCACTCAGGCTTTACAGCCTCTTCAAACACAGACAAGGACATCAGCTCCTCTGACTGGCAGGCAGTATCAGTGGCCAGGACTGGCAATAAATGCCAGGAGCCTGCTCTAGCTCTTTCTCACTGTTCTGCCCTCTGGAAATGAGAGGACCACAGTCTGGGCCTGAGCCTGAGCATGTGAAAGCGGAAGGTAGCCTTCTCCAAAGTCCGCTAGTGCCTCAGAAGTGCTGGGGTCCAGGCCTGCCAGGGGGTCCTCCAGTCTGAGGTGGGTGACGTTTACATGCAAGCTACTAGACAGGTACGGATGAAGTGACCCTTCTTGCCCACAGAAAGGGGTGCCATGACAACTTAAAAGTGTCAGGCAGAGTTTTTACATTTGCGCCTAACCACTCCTGATATGTGCCTTCTGTGCTGAGTCTATCCCATTAGGTATTTTTTGAAATGCCTTGTAGTGGCTTCACACATTACTTTTTACAGTTAGGAGGGCTCTGAAATGGAAAGCTAAATGATGTTCTTTGTTCCCATGTTTTGTAGATCATCTCCAAAGAGATTGAAGCAAACGATTGGAAGTGGAAATATGAAGGAAGCCGGCAAGAGGTTCTGGAAATGAGGTAACTCTCTCCATCCAGCCCAGGGCCCTGGTGGGGATGTAAATTGCAGCCTCTCCTGTAGTTTGATGAGCAAGGAGAGCGATAGCCCCCTACCTCAGCTGATGTACGTGTGGCTGTGTATAATTTTTTATTTCATAAAATTTATATACCAATTGAATGTAAAAAACAAACAAACAAAATACCCTGAAAACTGTTTTCAAAATAATAAACCAATAAAATTACTGGTAAAAACAGTTAAGAATAAGTATTTAAAATGTAAAAAAAAATCATTGATAAACTAAAAACATATTAGAACACATGTTAACATTATCTATATTTGGGTAGGCTTGTCTAAACAAAAATGTTTTTCGCAGGCACCAAAAAGAGTACAGTGACATGTTCTCTTAAGTGTGTAGAAAGGCAACATCCGCTTTTGTCCACAGCTGCCCTTTGGCATGCGGCCTCTGGAGGGTTGGCCAAGGGCAAGTGTGGCCCCCGAATGAAAAAAAGCCACCCCTGGCCTAGGAATTTGACCTGGGCAGGGAAGACCCCAAGTCAATCTCCACTCAGCCACAAGACTTCCTGGGTGATCATCAGCTTGTTCCTCTCAGTCCAGCCTGCCTACCTTGCAGGCTGGTTGTGAAGATAAAAGAGCAGGACCTTTGTGTGCACCATATCAGGAGAAAGAACAGGATACAAATGGAATAAATTTGTACATAGTTGTTTGTTTGTTTGTTTGGATGTTAACAAAAAAGCACCCAAATCCAGTGACGTAGCGTGGGGGTGCAGGGGGGCCCGGCCGCACCGGGCGCAACATCTGGGGTTAGGGCAAATCCACAGGTTAGGGGGCGCAAATCCACGGGTTAGGGGGCGCAAATTACTTGCCTTGCCCCGGGTGCTGACTACCCACGCTACGCCACTGCCCAAATCAAAAAATGTGTCAGTTTTCTTTACCTACATTTTTGTAAAGAGTTCTGGAAGCCAAACAGGTCTATGAAGTGAAATGGGCGTGCATGTAACCATTCTCAAGTTTGCATGCATCTTAAGATGCCTGCAGAAGAGAAACTTTGAGTGATGGCTGTCTGTCTGTCTTGCATAAGGATGAAATAATGTAAAAGGCATCCCGCACTAGGATGAGTGGGTGGAGCTGGTTCACTGAAGCAAGAAGTGAGCAATTCTGATTCTTGTGTGCTGTTTCCTGACTTTTCTGTTTAGGAAGATTGTGGCTGAATACGAGAAGACCATTGCCCAGATGATAGGTAAGCCATAGCTTTGTGGGCAGAAGGGACAACTAAGCTGTGCCTCACCCTCTACAGATCATCCCCTCCAGCTAATCCAGGCCACAAATGTGCAGGAGGCATATCTTTCTTTATTCATTTTATTAAATTTGTATACCGCCCTGTCTATACCCATAGATCTCAGAGCTGTTCACAAATGCAGTTTCAATGCAGTGTGTCTGGTCTCTGTGTCTGTGACATGACGTGCCAATTTTTCAAGTGGTAGCTTGGAGTCTGGTCAGCGCTTGGAGAAGCAGTTATAGTCAAGTCTCTGTGTAAATGCTGCAAGCATGATAAGAACATAAGAGCCAGATAGATTAGCCCAAGGCCCATCTAGTCCAGCACCCTGTTCTCACAGTGGCCAACCAGATGCCCATTATAATAAGAATTTTTTTATTTGTACCCCTCCCATCGGACTGGGTGTTCCCAGTCACTCTGGGCGGCTTCCAGCATAATAAAACCACAGCAAACATCAAACATTAAAAACTTCTGGATACAAGGCTGCGTTCAGAGGTCTTCAGAAAGTTGTGGGGTTGTTTATCTGTTTGACATCTGATGGGAGGGCATTCCACAGGGTGGGCACTACTACCAAGAAGGCCCTCCACCTGGTTCCCTGGCTCCGCAGAGGCAGAACAGAGCACAACAGCACTCTTTTTAAAAAATATTGGCTAATTGGTGGGAAATAGCAGATATCAAGGACAGGATACATCTCCATTTCGAATTGGTATCTGAAGAAGTGTGCATGCACACAAAAGCTTATACCAGAACAAACTAAGTTGGTCTATAAGGTGCTACTGGACATTTTTTTTATTTTTTTTGACTACATCAGACCAACACGTCTACCTACCTGAATTTGGAATTAAGTTAGCCTTCCCCAACCTGGTGCCCTTCAGAGGTTTTGAACACCAACCCCTCTCCATTTAGTTCAGCCTTGGCCAACCTTCAGTCATTAATGGGAGTTGTCGTCCAAAACCTCTTGAGGGTGCCAGGTCAGTGAAGGGTGAACTAAACCTTTGGCGGAGCTCTTGAACACGTGAAAAACCTGCCCTCCTGCGCTGCTGTTCCGCACTGTCTTTTCCGATAGGAATCACAGCTGGGGAAGAAGGGAACGCCTAACTGCTACTTAGGAGCCAATACTTTCCAGGTAGGCTTAATGTTCTCCTTTTCATTTGAATCCACAGAGGATGAACAGAGGACAAACATGGCATCCCAGAAGAGTCTTCAGCAACTGACGATGGAGAAGGAGCAGGCTCTGTCTGACCTGAATTCTGTGGAACGGTCCCTTTCCGACCTGTTCAGGAGATATGAGAACCTGAAGGGGATCCTGGAAGGCTTTAAGAAGGTCCTTTCTCTGCACAAAAAGGCCTTTTCTCCTCCTTACCTGCAGCTCAGAATCCCTGCCTTATCTGCTGTAGGCCAGAGGTGGGGGACCTGTGGGCTCCAGAAGTTCCTGGACCCCTAACCATTAGCCCTGCTGGCTGGGCTGATGGGAGTTTGAATGCAGCAATTTCTGAAGGGCCACAGGTTCCCTGATGCAGGAGGGCATATCTTTTTTCGGGGTGAAATTGAATTTTTGCAAATTTCTTCAGTGATGCATCTTAAAAATATGTTTCTGGGTGTGATTCAAATCTGCTATTCTTTTTGTGAGTGGACAGTATTCAGTAAGTCTATGTCTGAGGAAGAAGCACATAATTTGCTTTTGGAAAACCAAAAAACCCAAAGGATTTTAATTTTACCTTCTGAGAATGTCAGAAATGCCTTATTATTATTATTATTACTACTACTACTACTACTACTATTAACAATAATAATAATTTATAGTAAAACTGCAAGTACTTCGTAAGCATTTTTAATGATTTCTAGGCAATTTTAAACACATTTTACTTATCAAGTGAAATTACCGTAAATTACGGTATATTACTGTGCTTTTCCATGTAGACTATGCCCCCGTGTATTAGACGACCCCTATTTTTGGGGACTCCAAATTAAGGAAATGGTTGGAGATTGTCCAGAGCTGTTAAACTTTTTTGGGGGGAGGCACAGTTGTTTAGCTTTGGGGGCGGGATTGCAGACAATCACTCACCCACCTGACCGCCACTGCCAGTCGCATATCTTGCCAAAGCCACTGACCGATCACCGCCAGCAGCCGACAATCAACTGCACAATTGCTGTATTTTAGCAGAGGAAATAATCCCCCTCATATATTATTGCATTTGTTCCCCTGTGTTAGTCAAGGATTTATGGATTAGCCTCTTGCAAAGTCTCATATCTTTTTAAAAAACACCTAGTTTATGAAGGTGTAGTCTTTAATATTCATTATCCAAAATGGGTGTCTTCATTTTGATGAATGTATAATCTCCGTTGGAGGGCTGGATCCAGAACTGGCCCACCCTCTGTGCACCTCTTTTGACCGATAGGTGTGGGCCTCCACCGTCTGTTTCCTGACATCACATGGCAACAGGCGATTCAGATTTTCCCCAATGGGGCCAGTATCAGGAAGCCAACAATTCTGCTCCAGGCCAGATTTCAGTCCATGCTGGAAGAAGAATTTAGAGGCTCGTGAAGCTTGAATGCTATTTCCCTATGGACTTTAAGAAGCCTTTGAAGCACTTTCCCCAAGTTCAGCTCTGGAGAACTTTGCTAGCTTCTCCATCTTGATGCTCTGCTAGTTGGCACACCTTGCATCTTTTGTTGCTAAACCTTTTGCATCTTCCTCTAACTTTTGTCTTCTAGAATGAGGATGCGTTGAAGAAGTGTGCTCAGGATTATCTCACTCGGGTCAAGCAAGAAGAGCAGCGGTACCAGGCCTTGAAAATCCATGCTGAAGAGAAGTTGGACAAGTAAGGAATTTTTGGCTTTCAAGGAAAGAGAGAATGGCAACACTGAAGTGTGGTTAACAGAAAGCGGGAGTGAAAGCTTCCAGATTCCTCCCTGTGGGTGTGCTGGAGGAGGAGAAGGGGAAGCAAGTGAGGCCAGAGGGAAGGTTCTCATGGTGTCTTGATTAAGGGGGATGGGGAGCAAAAACGTCTTTGCCTGCAACAGAATATACAAGTACAAGCTCAAGTTTCAGGAATAATGATGACGATAAGCAGTTTGAAGGATCAGTGGTGGCTGATGCCCTTTGGGGGAGTGATAAGATGGAAGCAGAGTGAACAACAGCTGGTGCAGCCGGAGTCGGCGACAAGCAGAGCTAGTTAATTTTAGTTTTGTCCCCATCATCCTCCATGCTGGGTTCTACACAGGGAAACACTAAGACCTAAGGCAGAGGAGGCTCGGAAAGCAGGCAGGTGGCAGCTGTCTGAGGCAGAGCAAGGTTTGGTGGGCAGAGCTACCTGTTTGCTGCAATGGACCAGCCTCCACTGCCAAAGGATTGCAGCGCATCATGAATAATATCAACAGTGGGCTGCTATATTGCGAACAGCAAATCCTGCAGTTGAAAGTCAGTTTTCTCTGCTAAGGACATTTTTATTACAGCCTGGCTGAGCACAATACTTGTCACTCTCAAGGGCTATCCAGAAGATGAACCTTATTTGCATCTCTGTTTCTCTTGCTGTCTTCCCCCTTCAATGCAGAGCCAATGAAGAAATTGCTCAGGTGCGCAACAAGGCCAAAGCGGAGAGTGCAGCTCTTCACGCTGGGCTCCGAAAAGAACAAATGAAGGTGGAGTCTTTGGAGAGGGCCTCCAGCAAAAGGTGAAGGAGCCTCTCTTATCTTTTTCCTGCTGCAAAGAAAAGAGCAATTGTCTGAATCTACCCATGCTGCTTGAAATTCCTTTAACATGGCAAGCAAATGTACATTGAGTTTTCAGTATTCTCCTGATCTTGTGATATTGCTATTTTTATTCTTCTTAATTGTTCAATGGCCTGATTCATTTATTGTGTTTATACAATATTTTCTATTGTGCGTCATTTGTCCTGTATTTTTATATTTTCTTCTGTGTTGGGGACCCTTATAACTGAAGGGTAGTACAATCCTGACGGTGATATACAGTAATCTGTGTTCCAAATATACTCCTGAATCTGTTTGGTTAACTTGGTTATGTTGGTTGATTTCCTCAATACCCTATTGCTATGGTCCCTACTGAGGCCCACCTTGGCCTGCAAAAGCCCTTCCTAGGTTTCTTTTTCAAATACTGAGTTTTGGGGACATTGTTCTTCAGGGTGGTTTCCTTAGCTACTTTTCTGTTAGTGTTTGTTTGAT